GCAGATCCGTTTCGGCTGAAAGGGGGGAAGAAGCGAGAGGAGGAGGAGCAGGAGGGAGGAGGAGCAGCAGCAGGAGGGTGAGCCAGAAAAGGAGCGAGCAGCAGCAGCAGCAGCAGCAGCAGCAGTTGGAGTCGTAGGATTTGTCCCGTCGGACGGCTGCCAAGAGAGGCGGTGTACAGCTGATATGAGCATGAGTTAACGAACCAACAACACACACCCATACCCATAGGGGGGTCGGAGAGGGCTATGGGCACGTGTTGTCGGATGGGGGCCCCCGCTCGAACGGGAGCGTTCCCCAGGGTCCGACAACCCGCACCCATACCCATAGCGAGTCCTCCTCCCAACGACCGCCCCCTGTGGGTGTGGGTGTGTGCTGTTCGTTCGGCATGAGTGCGCCATGAACGACCACGAACGCGAGCACTCGCAGCAGGGGAGAGCGAGGAAGAGGGAGAAAAAAACGATCGAACCCACTGCATCCCTGCACGGTCGGGATCGCCTTAGGGCAGGAGGCGCGACGAAGCGCCGAAAAGCATTCGATTGCCGCCTCCGCCGCCAGCCTCACGGAACCTCCTCAACCCTCCGCCGATCTCCTCGCAGGGCCTCCCGTCCCTCCGAAGACCTCCGCCCTCCTGGCAATGTTCACGGGAAGCCTCTCATCCCTCCTAAAACCCCCCCGCGCTCCTCGCAAAGCCTCTGAGACCCCGCGTCCCTCCCACACCCTCCGCACTCCTCCTTCCTTCGAGACGCGCATGGACCACGGTCCGCACCTGCTTCGCGCTGCGCGGAGGGACAGGACAAGAGGGAGGCGCAGAGGGAGAGAGGGGGGGGCAAAGGAGGCAAGAGGAGGCGATCCTACAGGGTAGAAGCGGAGCAACGCCAACCCTCATAGTTCATGTTGCTCCCATCGTACTTAAAGACCACATCCCAGAAGTAATTTCGAGCACCCGGAAAAGTGTCGAAAGAGTGTCGAAACAGTGTCGAAACAGTGTCGGACGAGTGTCTCCCAGGGCCCGACACGTGAAAACCTTCGAGTTCCGGTACTTTTTTGGTGCTCGAAATTCTGTCTGGTGATCAAGGCTGAAGTAGGCTGGAACATCAGAACCCTCGTAGTTCATGTGGTCTCCAAGCTGCTGCTCCGGGCATGCGCGGGTTCGTCTCCCTGTAGCAGACGGGCTCAAGGTGAGCTGGCACTGTGCGGCGGACGTCGTCCAAGCTCTCGCTGATGTGACCAGGCAGCGTTTCTCACGTCCTCCAAGGATGCTGGAGCGTGTAATTCTTCTACCCGCGTCTCAATCAGGTGGCGGCTTTCGGCGAGTTCGCCCTTCGCTTGGCCCGAGGGTTGCTACATCTTCCCTTAATCGTTCAGCATACCAATCCTGAAAAGATGTCTGTTCATTTTCGGCGAAATTCGGCCAACCACTCGGCACGACAGGAAAAACGTCGCCAATGCCGGGGTCGTCTCGCCCATGGTCACCAACGACATGCGTCTCAGCAGGACCAAGCTCTCCGTCGTCGTCGTCATCAGCATGATCGGTTGCTGGTGTCCCGAGGTGTGCCCAAGGGCCTGTTGAACAAGAAGAACACCACTGCCTTTCTCCTTGACATGTCAAGCAAACTGCATGGTGAATGCTTCCGCACTTGTCGCAAGCATCGCAAACCATCGCTCCTCCATCCACGGAGTCGTCGACATAGGGATCTACAGCCTGACCGCAGATTTGGCAAATCAACTCCACATTCGCATCGATCCTATCGAAGCCTCCACGCTAGATGATACCGACGAATGTTCACTCAACTGAGGGTCAAGACAACCAAACCTCACATGCTTACTTTCACAAGCTTCCGATGAGAACTGCCTGAAATCACTAGAAATGTCAGAATGGCTTTCTGAAGCTTTCTCTGAGGTCGCTGGCTGGTCGACTAGCAGATGAGCGGAAACACGCCAAGAATCCTGCTCACGCTGCGCATGATCAAGAGAAGGCGCCGGGAACGGGTCGCACGCAGCCTCGGGCGCATGCTGCCACTGCCCGATAATGCACCAATGAAGCTGCGCTGTCAGGAACTCGATTGTTCTCGAGGCGGTTGTGCAGAGGGATTGTCTGGGGCTCGCGTTCCCAGCACCTATCTTGCGACACTGCCTTGCTTGCAGCCAGAGTCTGTAATCGTCGACGCCGCTTCTGTGGTTTGATCAGCTGCTTCGCACTTGGATCCAGGCAAGAGCGCACGCAGGACTGCACCATCAGGATGGGCAACACACGGGGCGGGACACGGGCGCCTGAACACAACTTGTCTTGAGCTCTTGAGCCTTGAGCCTCCGCACTCCACCAAAATCTACGGAACCCTCCAATCCCTGCTAAAAGCTCCGCACTCCTCCCAAACCTCTGAAACCTCTGAAGCCTCACATCCCTCCCAAACCTTCCCTCCCGAAACCTTCGACGACTGAGGCGCTACGACGGCCGTGTCAGCCAATAGGAACGAGAAGGGAACAGGGGGGCCCTACGGAATGGGGAAGAGTCCAGGATGAGTGAAGATGAGTACCGAAGAGTGCGATGGAATGGGGAAGAGGAGGGAGGAGTGCCGAAGGCTGCGATGGAGTGGGGGGCGTCTCGAGAAGGAATGCCGAAGAGTGCCGGGGAGTGCGATGGAGTGTGGAGGACTCCAGAGGAGTGCCGAGGAGTGGGATGGAGAGGGGAGGAAAAGAGAAGTGCGATGGAGTGGGGAGGGGCCGGAGGAGTTCGCGGAGTAGTGGGGATGAGTGCCGAGGAGTGCCGAGGAGTGGGGAGGAGTCGGGAGGAAGGCCGAGAAGTGCAATGGAGAGACGAATGCGGCGAAGTGCCGAGGAGTGCGATGGAGTGGGGAGGAATGGGTTTCAGTGGGGGAGAGGGTCCGCGGAGTGCAATGGAGGGAGGATTGCGGAGGAGCGGGGAGGAATGCCGAAGAATGCAATGAAGTGGGGAGCAATTCGGAGGAGTGGGGAGGAGTGCCGAGCAGTGCGATGGAGTGGGGGGGAACTGAGGAGGAGTGCGGAGCAGTACAATAAAATGGGGAGGAGTGCGGAGGATTAGGGAGGAGTGCGGAAGAGTGGGGAGGAATGCCGAAGACTGCCGGGAAGTGCGATGGAGTGTGGAGGACTCCGGAGGAGTGCCTCGGAGTGGGATGGAGAGGGGAGGAAGGGAGAAGTGCGATAGAGTGGGGAGGGAGGAGGAATTCGGTAGTGGGGATGAGTGCCGAGAAGTGCCGAGGAGTGGGGGGAGTCAGGAGGAAGACCGAGGAGTGCAATGGAAAGACGAGTGCGGAGAAGTGCCGAGGAGTGCGATGGAGTGGGGAGGAATGGGTTTCAGTGGGGAGGAGCGCCGAGGAATACGATGCAGTGGGGAGCAATTCGGAGGAGTGGGGAGGAGTGCCGAGCAGTGCGATGGAGTGGGGGGGAACTTGGGAGGAGTGCGGAGCAGTACAATGAACTGGGGAGGAGTGCGGAGGAGTGGGGGTGAGTGCGGAGGAGTGAGGAGGAATGCGGTGACGTGCTCACGACTGCGACGGAGGAGAGAGGAGTCCCGAGGATTGAGAGGAGTTGGAGACGTGACGACCCGCGCCTCTGGGAGCGTCCAGGGGGCCTTTTTGTCGACCATCGAGGACCTGCGGGAGCGTCCCTCCGGGGACCTCTGGAGGACTGCGGGGACATCTTGCCCGGGGCCTCTGCGACGACCTTGAGAGCCAGAGGAGGCGAGTGGACGCCTGAAGACGTCGTCGATCGTCGTCGCCCTCGTCTTCGCCGCCGCCATCGCCTCCTCCTCCTGCTGCTCCTCCTCCTCCTCCTCCTCCTCCTCGTCCTTATCGTCATCCGTCCCCCCTCGCAGTCCACGCCTTCCCTGCCTCTCCTCCTTCTGTCCTTCCGGCCGTCAAGCATGGCGGCTACGCCATCGCCAGGGTCACCCTCGACAGGGTTACCCTGAGACCCACAGCTGTGCACACGCCCTTCTGGCTGGTCCGGGGAGCACATGCACCGCTCCCGGGCCCAGGATGGACCGAGCCAGGAGCGGTGGACGTGTACAGGTCCCGTCGCCCGATCCTTGGCGTACTCCACCTGCGACTGGTTCACGGCGGCGAGGGCCGCGGAGACCTCTGCATCGCCCGCGTCGACCAGCACCACGCAGAAGGAGCGTGTCACCATCCCCAGGCCGCTGGCGGAGCAGAGCTGGTCGTGGTTCCGCAGCGTCGCATGGGGCGCCATGCCTCGGGGGCAGACAAAAACACCCTCTCACAGAACGCCCGCACTGGTGACAGTTGCCAGGGGCACTCCGCGTGCGCACGGCACCGCATTCCGAGCGCACCCCAGCGGGGCAGCCAGCCGACGCCCCAAAAAAAACAGCCGAACGTGTCCAGCGAAACGCACCTTGGCCAGTCGGCGACACCGACCGAGGACTGCTCCAAGAAACACCTGGAGGCCAATGCCGCACGAACCCGCGCAGAGCGCCCCCCATCGACTTGTCTGGGCCAGCGTTCTCTCCACGCCCGAAGGCCGCCGACGACCCTCACGGCCATCTGCCGGAAGTTGCCAGCGACGTCCTCCAGCTCGGCGAAGGACTTCCGCTGGCGGGCGTCGCCCCCGCGGCCCATCAGGAGCGCGAAGGAGTCGCCCTGGGCGGGTCCCGTGCCCACGCCGAGCACCTGGGGGTGGGGGCGAGCCGATGCTCGCCTCGGCAGGAGTCGGCACAGACGGGAGGCAGGCAAGGAGTAGGAAGAGGGCGGAGGAGGGGGGCGAGGAGGAGAGGGTGGAGAAGAAGGGTAAGGATAACAGCTAAGAGAACGAGAAGGATGCAAGAGAGAAAGAGAGAGAGGGACAGATCTATGCATATATCTACACATATTCATTGTAACCACGTGCGCGCTCCGCGCGCGCGCGCAAGTTCTAGCGCAGCCCAAGTCAACCTCACAGGATAGGACGAAGATGGACATCATCCCGTTAGGATCACCATATGGGAGCGTACTCCCTGACGGACGCCTCAGGAGTCGCTGAAGAAGGCGCCAGAAAGTCGCGCAGGGCAGCCAAGAGGAGGACCCAGGGCAGCCTAAGGGGGGATGCCCGAGAGCCCCCGAGAGCCTGGCCAAACCATGATGGGAGCCTCCTTGGATGCCACCGGGGGACCTCCTCGGAAGGCTCTCGGGGGCTTCTGGGGGCGGGGCCTCTCCCGCTTTGGTTGGGGATCTCCTGGTGGCTTCTCCAGACTTTTGGGGGGCGTTTCGGGGGCATGTCTGGGCTCGAAATCATGGGCAGATCTTCCACAACCGCTACCATCTGTAGGACGGGGGGCAGGATGTGGAGGTCCTTCTCCTCCTCCTCCTCCTCCTCCTCCTCCTCCTCCTCCTCCTCCTCCTCCTCCTCCTCCTCCTCCTCCTCCTCCTCCTCCTCCTCTCTCCTCCTCCTCCTCCTCCTCCTCCTCCTCCTCCTCCTCCTCCTCCTCCTCCCCCTCCCTCTCCTACCTATGGTGTGGTGTAAGATGGGCCCGTCACGAAATGTCGGTTTGGATCCCCGGCTCCCGGCCCTGTCTCCAGGCCGCCTCGAGGGCCGCCCTGGCTGCCTCTGAAGCCATCCTGGCGGGCTCTCTTGTGCCGTATCTGCGGGGCCGTCGCAGGAACCTCGCAGACTGCCTTGGCGCTGTGTTGGGGGCCTCTCTTGGGCCGTCCTGGAGCGCTGGGAGGCCGAAGCAGCATGCAGTAGGGGACCGACCACAAGAAACCTTCCACAAGAAACCCAACCCTGATCGTCACGTTCTCCACGGCAAAAACATCGAAACTCAAGAAACCCAGGGCACCCTGGAGGCAAGCAGGGTGTTTCTTGGCATGGGCCCCCACTGTGAGGGAGGCGGAACGAGGAAGGCGCGAAGGAAAGACAGGGCGGAGGGAGGAAAGAAAATGTCGCAGCGGGGAGGAGAGGAATGAGAAGGATGCGGAACGAGTGACGAAAGAGGACCATGAACAGGAGAGAGATGAAGGGGAACGGACAGCGAGGAATGGGGAAAACGGAAACGCACTCGGGGGCACGCCAAAGCCTGGGACAGAAGGAACTGGAGAGGGGGGCCGAGGTTGGAAAAAAAGGATTTGAGGGATTTTGTTTTTTCGTTCCAAGCCGGGCCCCCTACCACTTAGTGGGGCAGGATGCTGGGCGAGGGCAGCGGAGGGAGGAAGGAATGAAGGAACGATGAAAATAAAGAAGGGGGGAGTCGGAAACGCACGAGGAAGGCGGAGAGGAAGGCGTGAAGGAGAGGCGAGGAGGAGGGAAGAGGGACGATGACGCAGCGGGAAGTAGGGGGAGGAGGGACAGGAGAAAGATGCCCCTGCGCGCCTTCCTGGGGCCTTCGTGGGCGCCTCCCGCAGTGCACGCATGCGCATACCCATGACGCGAAGTCGTGCTGGACGTCGCCTCCATTCAGAGAACGGGCTGCGTCATTTGTCTGGCACCATGTGCCGTGCAACATCTTGACGCATTCCGGCAAAGCACAACGAGGCCCCAAAAATCCCCGAGGCCGCGCCCGATACGGCCTCGACTGAACTTGACGGCCTTTGGATGGTTCGAGTTGCACCACATCATTGGCGCCCAGGGTCTCCAGGGGACCTCCCAAACACTACCGGGATAGTCAGAGGGGCCCTCCAAACGCCCAAAACAAACGAAAACGCATACGGAAAGAGATGAAATCTCATCCAGGAGCGAGGGAGGGAAGGAGAGAAGGAGTGATGAAGGAGGGGGAAGTCAGAATCCCATAAGGGATGCGAAGAGTGAAGGCGCGACGGAGAGACGAGGCGGAGGGAGGAGGGAAAATGACGCAGCGGGAAGGAGGGAGGAGGAGAGGAAGGAGAAGGGTGTGGAACGGGAGACGCAGGAGAATCAAGAGCAGGAGAGAGAGCAGGGAGAACGGACAGCGAGGGATGGGGCAAGGGAAACGCACCCTAAGGAAGACCAAAGCCTAGGACAGAGGAGAGAAGAGGAGGGGGGGTCGAGCTTGCAAAAAAATGATTCGAGAGAATTCCTTTTTTCAAGCTGTATCTGGACATCCCCAAAAGCACACAGATCGCCCAGAAGACATCTAAGAGTCCCGCAAGACATCCGGGGAAGCCCTTCAGAGACCAAAATCATTGCAAAAACTAAGGGAAGTGTATGACTTCTGTTTTCTCGCATTTCCGCTTCCGATGTGCTTTCGAGGCTTGCACGTGCCCCAAAGAGCCGCTTGGGACGCCTCTTGGGGGCATCTTGGAGCTCTCTGGGGGGCCTCTTGCGAGCTCTTGCGGGAACCTCGGGGCCTGCTTCGGCGCTGGGTGCCTAGGAGGCGGGTCCTGAGAGCTCATTGCGGCCTGCTCGGAGCATCTTTGGGGCCTCCATGGTGCCCCTTCGGGCGTCATGGGAACTCTTGTGGCCTCTTGGGGCCACTTCGCGCCACTAGGGACGCCTCTTGGGGGCCTCGTGGAGCTCTCTTAGGGGACTTGCACAATCCTCGGAAGCGTGTCGGGGGCGGAAATGCGAGAAAACAGGGAACCATTGATTTCCCATGTGTTTTCTAATGACTTTGGCCTCTCGAGGAGTTCCCCAGAGCTCTTGGGGGACTCTTGGAAGCCTCTTGGGGCGATCTTTCGAGGAGCCAGCTTGGACATCCGTGGAGCACACTTGGGTTGTCTCAGGGGCGTCCTGGACCGTCCTCAGGCCTCCCAGGGGCTCTTGTGGACGCCCGGGAAGGAAGTACCGGGGATTTGCCAGAAATGCGAGCTAAGTGGGCGAAACTGGTACGTATGTATGTTCAATGGGTGGATGGATGTGTATGTACATGTATATGTATATACTTATGTTGCATTATATGATGTTCGGTATTGGCAGGTTGTAATGTATATATGAATGCTTGCATACATATATACATAGATACACGTACAACTTAGAGTGACATGTTACCTTGTGATGTACTCTACAAGCGTATGATACATGTCAAGAAAATTGTAAATATTGCACTGAAATGTGTGGTGATAAACTAATTTACATGTACCACATTAACTTATGCTAGCTTACGTTGTATATGGTAGGTTATACTATACTTTGATGAACAGCATTCCGTTGTAAAATATCAAAGTACATCCATGTGATAGCGCACGACACGAAATTATGGTTCAATGCACTGTACTATGCGACACTGCACTTTGTTATAATAGGTTACTGCAAATGGTACTCAACTTGGCCATCTTGTAATATAATACATCATGATAAACTAGATTAAGGTATGACGTACTGTATTGTGTGATGATGGTAAAAAATAAGTTGTATATGCAAATAAGACGTGTAAGAACAAATATATCCGAAAGCACATACACATTCATAAACATACACATACGCATCGACATGGGCATTTTCACACACATGTATAGTTACATATTCATGTACATAAACATATACATATACAAATAAATATACATCCACATATACATATGAATATACATGTGCGTACCCATATACATATAGATGTACAAATATATGCACAAACATCTATACATATATATATACACGTGTCAGCCTAAACAAACAAGTATGTATATCAGCACACGCACAATCAATAACATAAGCAACTGGAGCTACATATGCATATACAGAAACTATACCATATACACATACCTAAACCTATACCAGTACATATGCGTATACATATACAAATGCCTGGACATACACATATACAGATACATGCATATAGCCGTAGGCATTTATATGTACATGTACATATGATCATGCACATGCACCTACACAAGCACAAGCACACGAACATACTTAAACATATAATATAACGTGTCCTTACACATGGACTCATACATATAAATGAACATGTACGTATCCAAAATCATATGCACATGACTGTACGGGTAGTGATACATATGTCAATATGCCCTCGCAAACACACACATAAATATGCCTCATAGACACAAACATTGACATTGACATTGGCAGGGACGGACATATGCATGTACGTATACATATACATGCACTTGACATATGCATGCACGTACACATCTACATGTATTTAATCAGTTTTATATGTACATATGTACAGAAGCACATGCAGAAATATATACCTACATGATACAGATACCGACTCATATATATATATACACACACCGATACACTACCCATAGACATTAAACATACAATGGTACATACATAATTTACACACATATATATGTACTGATATATGCATACGCAACCACGTATACGTATACAAAGACATATTCATAGACATTTGCATGTAGAATAAAAAGTAGAACAACTAATACGTAATAGAACATGGTATACATGCAGGGAACGGGTAGGGATCAGAAAGAAACGAATGATAAGAGAGGAGAGAGAGCGGAAAAAGGAACACGAGGAGGCCGCATGGGCCGGCGCCACATTCACATCGGACCAACTGGGGTGCAGCTTGCGCTGGGCTTGTGGTAGCAACTGCGCATAATGGCTGACGAACCCTGGGCGGAAGCAAGTTGGCGATTCCACGAAGAACTGCCCGTGTCTGCCGCGTGGAAGTTTGGGCATGCGCAATCGAATATGGCACATATCTCTTGCGTGACATGACAACGGCGTTAGCCGCTGTTTGGCAAGGCGGCTGTCCCTTCACACCCGAAGATGTTGTACTGACGGGTATGTCGCAGGATCAAATACATGCTATAGCAATACGCAGTCGGCACCACGCCTCGGAGTTCGAGCAGGCTGCACCGAAAAAATCATCGACGAACTCCATGATGTCGACTCCACTGCGTTCTTTGAATAATCGCAGGACCTCTGCAACGGAAGAGTCGTTGATGCCGGGGGGGGCTCTTGAGGCCGAACGGGAGAAAATTGTAGTTCCCGAGCTGCCGCGTGCACGAGCGGCAGAATCCGCGGAGCAGAGTGCGACCTCGGCAACACTCCAATTTCACAAAACAAGCTTGGAAGCCGACTACGAGCATCCACGATGTTGACATGAGACGTTGTAGCGTCTTCCGAGGTGCCGTACCCAACCCCGACACGTCCCATGCGCAGGTCAACGATGAGTCGCGCCTCGAAACGTTGCTCATTAAGAAGATCGTCCGAAGCGCCCTGCAGCGGTTCTAGGAGCGCCCACGGATTCACGCTCAACCCCGCCAGCTTGAGATGGCCAGGCGAGTACAAATGCACCTTGCCAAGTTTTGCAAGGCGGTGGAACTCCTGCTCGGCCCATATCTGGAGCTCCAAATACGACAGATGATTCCTCGCCTGCTTTTGTTTAACCCCTGGTGCGTCGCGATGCACTCCGTCCGACCATTGAGTCCAGAAACCTGGGGACACCCCGCACTCTGCTTGGAAATCCAAGCGGAGTGTCGGGCAGGGATGTTCTCCCACCCGCGCAGCGCATTGCTTGCATCACGGATCGTTTGAAGCAGGGGGTCCATGCTGAAACGAGTCTTTGAGCCACTAACTGGCACATGATGCTGCAAGCCAATGGCTTTGGAAAGGAGGAAAAAAGGGAGGAAGTGGCAGGAGGGCTCCTGTGTTCCTGATGGGTGAATGGGGTCGCGAGCCCGGAAAAGGTCGAGAGCTTGAAAGTGGCACTTCTTGGAGACCGCGCCACCCCGGAGTCGCGCCAGCACTCTGCGAGCTGTCCCCTCTGCGCCCGCCTCGCTCTGGCCCGCTGCGGGCCTCATCGGCCTTCGCCAGCCCGTCGAGACGGCGCGCGAGCGCCTCCTCCCTTCCTCCTCCACACGGGGTGGGCGGGTGAGCCGGGAGCGTTCCGGAGGGGAGGTGTCGGCGTCGCTCTGCCGTGGGAGGACGAGGGCGGCCCAAGCGGGCGGGCTGCTGCGTCGCTCCGGTGAGCGGGCAGCGCCGTCGGGCCCCCCCCTCTGGGCGGTGCGACCCCGCCGTTCAGGTGCGCACTTCCGAGGGGCAGCTGTGCTGCCGGCTGCGCGGAGGCGGCAAACGCTCCCACCGTGGAGCCGCCACGGTGCCTGCGCCAACAGCAGTGCGAGCGGATCCGGCAGTTGGCCGACGAAGGTGAAGGGGCTGTTGCGTGCGCCCAACCCCGAAGCCCCTTTCCCGAGAGAAGGCGTCCGCAGAAAGCCGCCAGAGGAGAAGAAAGAGAATCGAAGAGGCAGAGGAGAGAGAACAAAAAAAGAATAGGACGAAAAAGAGAAGGAGAAGAATAAGAAGTGAAAGAGAAAAAGGGCGAGGACGAGGACGAGGAGGGAGAAGGAAGAATGAGGGTGGATGGAAACAAAGAGGTACAACGAGGAGACCGACGACTAAAGCATAGCACTCCCTCCGGAAATCTCTCCCTCCTCGACTTCGTTCTCCCCTCCCCCTCCAGCCCCCGGCGACGACGAGGCTGCTCCCGACGTCCCCGACGAACACGACGACGTCGCTACCCCCGCCTCCGCGTCCACCTGCTTCTCTCCCCCCTCTCGCCCTCCTCACCCTCACGGTGCCACCCGTCCTCAGCCTCACTCTCGGAAGCAGCGTCGTCGTCGTCGTCGTCGCCGTCGTCTACGGCGAGCGGCGCCTTCTCCGCCTCCACGGAGTCCGCGGTGGCTACTTCCACGAACTCGGCGAGCGAGTTGGCCACGCGCCAGAACTGCAGCGTCTCCATTGCTCGCCTCTGGCACCCCCTCGCCCCTCCTTGTCATGAGCAGGCTGCTTGGCCTCGGAGGGTGCGCTGGGCCAGGTGCCTCTGGGCTCTGGGACGCCTCCCGCCCAAGACGGGGCCACCAGAGGCCCCACTGGAATCGGCAGGAGGCCCTCCTTGAGACCCAGGCAGGGTGGCGGGATGGGCCACGGGGAACCGGATCCGCCGCCCCCTGTTGATTCATCACAGGGGTGCCTGCCGTGCTGGATCCTTTCGGCATTGGCTTTGGTTCATCTTCCAAAAGAACTCCCCCTGGGGCTCCGGCCCAGCCCGCCGGCACCCCGGAAGGCTGCACAAGGCCCGGTTGCAAAGGTTTTCCTCGTCCAGACGGGTCCAAGATGGTCCAAGATGGCCGCCAAGACGGCCAAGATGGCCCTCAAGTTCGCTCAAGATGGTCCAACATGGCCTCCAAGACAGCCCAAGAGGCCGCAAGATATTGCCAAGTCCGCCCAAAAAACCTCCAAGACGGCCCAAGACTGCCCAAGACTGCCCAAGAGGTGCCGAAGAGGCCTCCCGGACGGCCCAAGAAGCCTCCGAGAGGTCCTCCAGGAGGGTCCTGAGACGCTAAATTCATAGATTTTCGTTGACTCTCGGATTTGCCTCTTTTCGGCCTTCCGACGGCCCAAGAAGGCCCAAGAGGCCCCAAAGATCGCCACCAGAGCGCCCAAGAGGCCTCCAAGATGGCTCCAGAACGCCTCAAGAGGCCCCCAAGACGACCACAAGACGGCCCAAGAGGCCTCCAATATTCCCAAGATGGCCTCCAAGACGGCCCTGGAGCACGCCTGGCCCCAAGTCAGCCCACAGAGACCTCCAAGACGGGGCTTCCGACGGCGTCAGACGGACCAGGAGCCGACCAAGACGGGCAAAGAGGCCCCCAAGAAGCCCCCGAAGGCCCCCAAGTCAGCCCAGAGAGGCCTCCAAGATGCCTCCAAGAGGCTCCCAGGAAGCTCCCAGGAGGCCCCAAGAGTATCCCCAGAGGCTCCCAAGATGCCCCCCCGCTCCTCCTCCTCCTCTTCCTCCTCCCTCCTCCTCCTCCTCCTCCTCCTCCTCCTCCTCCTCCTCCTCCTCCGCCTCCTCCTCCGCCCTCCTCCTCCCTCCTCCTCCTCCTCTCCTCCTCCTCCTCCTCCTCCTCTTCCTCCTCCTCTTCCTCCTCCTCCGCCTCATCCTACTCCTCCTCTTCCTCCTCTTCCTCCGCCTCTTCCTCGGCATCCTCCTGATCTTCCCCGCCATCCTCCCCCAAGTGTTCCCCGACGGGTTTCTACAACGTTTGGGGGAACACATGGTCCAATAGCTTGGCAGAGCTCTTGCCACAACGCTCGGCCACATGGGCGATTCTAGAGGCCAGGGGACGGCGGTGATTTGCCGTAGGCGTCTTCGATACGGCAGGTTCGTGTCGTGACGATCACGGCGTTGGCTTCTGACACCGTGGGGATCGTTCAGCCTTGAACGATCGGCCGCTTCCGAACCGCCAGATCGCTCGACACCGACCGATTCTGGGTCGCCGGCGGCGCTCAACGTTGAACACCGGCGGCGGGGTCGCCGCTGGTCGACACGACGCGAACCTACAGCAGAGAGCCAACCCAAAGGCCACCATTAGGGACACCAAGGCAAGAGGCTTCAACAAAAATCCTGGGAGGTCTGCTCATGGCCCTGCGGGTTCGCCCAGGAAGGCCTTTTCATGGCCTTGCCGGTTCGCCCAGGAAGGTCTTTGTTCAAGAGAGAACGAAAGAAAGAGAGAGAGAGAGAGAAATATAGAGAGAGGGAAAAAAAAACGTAAAAAAACGGGGTGAGAAAGAGAGAGAGAGAGAGACAGAGACCGAGACAGAGAGAGCTCGCGCTGCCTCCTCCAGGACAAGCGCCTCCGCGCCAAAGCGCCCACGCTGTTCCATCCCTCCCTCCATCCCTCCATCCCTCCTCCATCCCTCCACACCCCCATGCCTACCTCCCTCCATGCCTACCTCCATCCATCCCTACATGCCTACCTCCATCCATCCCTCCATGCCTGCCTCCAACCATCCCTCCATCCCTACTTCCATCACGCCTCCATCCACACATCCGCCCCTCCCAAACAGAACCTCCACCCATCCGAACCACACCTCCCTTCCCTCCCTCCACACCCCCAACCGCTCCACCCCGCCCCGCCCTCGGCCCCCGCCCCATCAGGGGAAGCCAAGAAAATGTCCATCCTCCCCGGACCTCTCCTGGGGCGCGTTCCGACCAGCACTTCGAGGCGAAGCCGGCCGTGACGACGAGGGCCTCCCAGAAGGCCCCCAAAAAACAAAAATGTGGGAAGGATATCGACGTCGGTACCCTTTCCTCCTCCTGTCGGGGATCTACTGAGCTGGGTCAATCCAGCCCGGGGCCAGTCAGGCTTTGCAGAATCCTGCAAGATCCTGCAGGATCCTGCAGGATCCTGCACCCAAGCCCGGGTCAGTGCGACCCTGGCTCTGCAGGATCCTGCAAGATGAGCATCGTTTAATCGATCCCCATCCCCGGCGGTGTGAGCTGGGCCCCGCAAGCCGATTGACCCTCCTAGGTGGAGGCATAGGCCGTTCCCTTCGGGCTTCGAGGGGTGTATCCCCAACAGGGGTGGTAATTTGGTGGGGGCCTCGCAGCGGATGAGCATGGGGAGGGGGGTCGCTGAAACGACACTGAGCAAGATCTGGCGCTCCTGCTGACCCCCGTCCTGCATCGACCCCCGTCTCGAGGCTCCCGACTCTGCCCGCCCCCCGCACCCCTGGCGCCCCGCCTGCCGCTCGTGGGCAGCGCGGCCCTGCTGAGCAGCAGCGCCCTCGCGCGCTGCGAGGGGCCGTCCAGCCAGCCCCGCAGCTCGGCGCCGGCGACGTGCCGCACGGCCTGCGGCGCCGCGGGGTCGCGAGAGAAGAGGACTCACTCCCTCTCCTCCTCTGATGACGACGACGACGACGACGACGACCCGCCCCACCTCCACTCCCTCCCTCCTCCAGAGCCTCGCACCCGCTCTCCTCCTCCTCCTCCTCCTCCTCCTCCTCCTCCTCCTCCTCCTCCTCCTCCTCCTCCTCCTCCTCCAACTCTGGCTCCGCCTCCGACTCCGCCTTCTCCTCCCCCTACTCCTCCTCTCACTAACACAATCACCGTCACCATCACCATCACCATCACCATCACCATCACCATCACCATCATCATCATCATCATCATCATCATCATCATCATCATCATCATCATCATCATCATCATCATCATCATCATCATCAGCATCATCATCATCATCAGCAGCAGCATCATCATCAGCATCATTATCGATTATAATCAGCATCGTCATCATAATCATCATCAGCATCATCAGCATCATCGTCATCGTCATCGTCATCGTCATCATCGTCATCATAATCCTCCTCATCCTCATCATCATCATCATCATCATCATCATCATCATCATCAGTACTATCATCAGCATGATCATCAGCATCACTACTATCATCAGCATGATCATCAGCATCATCATCATCAGCATCATCATCATCATCATCATCATCATCATCATCATCATCATCATCGTCGTACTCAGCATCGCCAACATCATCCTAATCCAAGTCCTAACCATCGTCCTCATCCTGCTCGTCATCAGCAGCATCATCAGCATCATCATCCTCAGCAGCAGCAACAGCAGCGCATAATCAGCACCACCATCATCGTCGACAACATCACAACCATCATCAACAATATCATAATGATCATCATCATCATCATCATCATCAGCATCATCAACATAGTCATCAACAGCATCGTCATCTACATTCTCACTACGAACACAACCATCACCGTCACCACCACCACCATTTTCACCATCACCCCGATCAGCATCGTCGTCATCGGCATCGTCAACAGAACCATCATCGTCCACGTTGTCGTCATAATCGACATCATCAGCATCAGAATGGCCAGGCTTCACACCCTCCCCACTTTCCCTCTCGGTGCCTCCCCCTCCACTACCCGCCACCGTGCCTGCACGAAGTGGGCGTGTTAGAATGCTCGACTGCGGTCTGGAAAGTGCACCACCACCACCACCACCACCACCATCACCATCACCATCACCATCACCATCATCACCACTTGTATTGCTTTGCAAGTCCGACACCCACCGCCACCACCACCACCACACCTCCTCGCGCAACCCCCTCTGAAATTCCCCCCCCCCCCTGAAATCCTGAGATTGCCCTCTGGCAGGCTGTTCGGTATCCAGACGACTAGGATAGCCTCCAAGACCGCTTCCAAGACAGCCAAGATGAAACCAAGACAGGCCAAAATGGCCCAAAGACCACCTAAGAGGCTCCCAAGACGGCCTCAAGACAGCAAGAGGGCTCCAAGAGGCGCTCCAGGTGAGCCCAAAAAGGCAAAACCTATGGGTGGTCCTTAGGTGCTCGAAAGATGTTGACGTTTGCGACCGTTCAAGCAGGCCCAGGATACCTCCAAGATAGATTGAAGACAGCCCAAGAGGGACCCAAGAGGGCCCCAAGTCGGCCCAAAAGGCCCCCAAGAAGCCCCCGGGAGGCCTCCGAGCGGCCCCCGAGAGGCCCCAAGAGACCCCCAAGAGGCACCCAAGACGCTCGAAGAGGCTCTGATCACCACCTTGTGGCCCCCAAGGCGTCCCGAAAGGCCTTCAAGAGGCCCCCAAGACGCCCCAAGAGGCCCCCTACGAGCCGCCAGGAGGCCCCCAAGACGCCCCAAGAGGCCTCCACAAGACCCCGAGAGACATCCCGAGAGACTCCGAGAAGCCTCTGGCCTACGGAGGCTCCCCGAAATCATTCCTGCGACGCTGTTGCACAAGCAGGGCGGCGGAATTTGCTGCAGGCAGCTGGATACTTTCTCTTTTCTCCCACCCCACCCCCTCCATTCAATTCAGCCCCTCCTTACTTTGCAATACTTCCTCACTGCTTCCTCCTTCCTGACCGTCCCCATCATCATCGCCACATTCATCAGTTGAATATTACCGCATGCGTGATCACCAACAACAACAACAACAACAACAACAACAACAACAACAACAACAACAACAACAACAATTACTAGCACGTGGGGAGACACCGTTCTCACCAGTGCCAGGGTTTTCATAGGAGGCGGGCAATACCCCCACTTTGTGGGGGGGCCGGTTCAAGCTCTACCAAATTTCCAAACGACTCTTCGCCACCACCCACACCCAGCTTCCCGCCCTATGACGTTCGGACACTTCACTTCGTGGCATGCGGACGACCGTGGCTACTATTCAGGGCCCCGCGGCCGACGACGACGGCGTGCGCGCGCGAAGAAAAAACGAATGTGTCCCGCATGGTATTATTTGACAGGGATGATGGCCCTGGCAGGTGCGCAACCGTTGTTGCAGAAGTTCGAAAAAGTTGCTCGCAAAAGCCCGTTTGACAGAAATGATTAAAAAGTGTTGGGTTTCCTACGAATCCGCAAGAGCGCGCGGGATGAAATTTTGACATTATATATATATATATATATATATATATATATAAAAAAAAAAAAAAAAAAAAAAAAAAAAAAAAAAAAAAAAAAAAAAAAAAAAAAAAAAAAAAAAAAAAAAAAAAAAAATGTGTGTGTTTTGATGTTTTTATGTTAAAATCGCTACGAAAACTAAGGTTTTGGAAGGATTTCGCCTTGCGCGCGCGAATGTCCATTTTACCTTATTTTTTGCAAGGGATTCTTGAAGTTTGGTTATGTTAGAACAAGAAATGTCCACTTTAGCTTATTTTTTGCAAGGGAAAACCGATCGTAACAACACAACCGGATCCGGACCAACCCGTTTTGCCTGAGACTTCCTCACGAAAATGATGAAAATGAGGCTGCGGCCTAGGCGCGGCGGGGGGGCCATGCACCAAGGGCCCCAACAATAATTATTCTTTAGAAGTAATAATGTTCAACAACAACAACAACAACAACAACAACCATTTTAAGGCTGTACGCTCTTACTTGCCCGCGAGTCATTCAACACGTATACCCTACACCCTCGATACCCGCCCTCTTCGTCTTCGATCACACCCCTTTCGGGGGGATTATTTCTCTTTGCTGGGGCCGGCGGGCTTAGACGTACGGGCAAACCGGAACGGGCGGACAATCCTTCGGGGGCGTACATCTCTCTGCCCGCCATTGGAATTGGCGCGGGCCCTGCAAGAGGAGGAGGGGAAGAACGAGGGAGAGTGGGAGGAAGGGGAGGGGGAAGGACGAAGGAAGAGGGAAGATACCACGTTGTGAAGGCGTCCTTGGCGCGTGCGTGGTTCCTGAGCGCCGAAACGCAATTCCAGAATAATTTGTGAGGACGTCGCACGCGAGAGCGCAGTCCTGAGTACATTGTGAGGAAATCTCGGGCGGAAGCGGGGGCCCTGACTAAGTTGCGAGGAAGTCTCAAGCGGGAGCGCCGTTCCTGGGCAAATTGCACGGAAGTCTCAAGCGGGAGCGGGGGTCCTCACTAAATTGCGAGGAAGTCTCAGGCGGGAGCGCCGTTCCTGAGTCAATTGCGCGGAAATGTCAGGCAGGAGCGGGGGTCCTGAGTAAAATTCGAAGAAGTCTCAGGCGGGAGCGCCGTTCCCACGTAAATTGCACGGAAGTCTCAGGCGGGAGCGGGGGTCTTGATTACATTGCGAGGAAGTCTCAGACGGGAGCGCCTTTCCTGAGTAAATTGCGCGGAAGTCTCAGGCGGGAGCGGGGGTCCTGAGTAAAAATCGAGGAAGTCTCAGGCGGGAGCCGTTGTTGTTGTAGCCCGGGGGGCAGGGGCACAGTTTGAGCAGGAAGACTTTCCTTGAGAAAAAACAAGGTGCGAGCCCCGGGGGTGGCACTTCAATCGAAAAAAATCAATGTGCACCGGTGGGGGGGGATCAACAATGATTATTCTTCAAGAATGAGAGTTCAACAAACATAACAACAACAACAACAACAACAACAACAACAACAACAACAACAACAACAACAACAACAACAACAACATCATCATCATCATCATCATCATCATCATCATCATCAGCAGCAGCAGCAGCAGCAGCAGCAGCAGCAGCAGCAGCATCATCATCATCATCATCATCATCAACAACAACAACAACAACAACAACAACAACGACAACAACAACAACAACAACAACAACAACAACAACAACAACAACAACAGCCCAAAATGTGTCACGCAGCGTGGGGCAGAGAACCCAGCGAAACGACGAGCACGCTGCCTGGCAGGGCAAACTCACCCCCTGGCCGTCTTGAGCTGCACCCCCACCTCTCACCCAGCCGACATCCCTACTGCATCGTGCACCTGGACAAGCACCTCTCAACCTGCTTGCCTTCGGCGGCCGCATCGCCCGCAGCCGGGGCGTCGACGGCAAGCTCTGCAGCCGACGGCGCGCACACGGCGCAGCAGCGGCCGCGGCGACCTGCGAGCCGAGCGGCGGCAGGACGCCGTGCGTCTCCGCTCGAAGCAGCACCCTCCGCCACCGCCCTCCAGGATCGCGCCAGGCCTTGGGACCCCCCTGCCGCTGATGGCGCGCCCCACAGCGAAAACAGAGTCTCCGAGCTGGCTGCGCATAGCCGACCCGGCGAAACTCGCCCGCGCGAGCTCATGGAGACCGCCACTGATGGAAGCTGCCCGTGGCGCCGCTGCACTGTCCGCCTCTCGACGCGTGCAGCCAGGCAGGGGGCGCCCACGACATCGGCGCGCCCCTGCAGGCGCTGCGTCGGCTGCGAGGCTGGCGGCCTCGTCGGTCCGCGAGCGGCAGGTGGACGGTGAGCGGCGAGCGAACTGTGGCATCACATCTCCATTGGTGGAGCCCGCCTGAAAAACCTGCCACGACGTCATCCAATACTTCGTTGTCCATATCCACGTCGTCCTCTACGAACCATCCATGCCCGCATTATCATAATACATACCATCGCCCGCAGTGTCGCCATCATCATCACCATCATCATCATCATCATCATCATCATCAGCAGCATCACAGCATCAGCATCATCAGCATCACAGCATCAGCATCACCATCATCACCATCACCATCACCATCACCATCATCATCATCATCATCATCATCATCATCATCACCACAATCAGCATCGTCATCCTTACCGCAATCCACAATTATCGCCATCCGCTGGTCAGCTTACAAGAACAACAAAGCGCAAAGCCCAGATGTTTTTGCAAGCCAGAATGTGACTGATATGTCCCATGCAATTACATGGAAACTTGAGGAACTCGCATCACTACGGCTGTCTTTGGTGTACGTACCCCAGAACAAATAACGGTGCACTTGTAAGTGAAGTCCCGTTTGCACCGCATTGCTGACCCCTCCAAAAGGCAAGGAAACGTGTTTAGTGCTCCCTGCGAATGTTCCCTGAGCCTGTTTTCGCCCTGGGGCAGGGGCACATACACATATGTCACTTCATCCTCCTCACGATTACAATCATCATCACCACCAACGTCATAATCACGCAGGTAGCCGTCGTGGGCAACATCGTCGTCGTCATTCCTACCGTCATCAACATCACCATCGTCATCACCATCACCACCCACCACAACCACCAGAATCAGCACCATCACCACCAACACCGTCACCACCATGAACACAACCACCATCACCACCGTCACCACCTCCACCACCACCACCACCATTATCACCACCACCATCCTCCTCCCTCCGAAGCACCCCGCCGCCCGGGCCGGGTAGGAGTCCGCCACGAAGCGTGTCAACGGCCCCGCGCCAGAGTCCCTGTCCCCGTTCCAGGTGAAGAACTCGGGCTCCTCGCGGCGTGGACGGAAGGGCCGCTGCGCTGGATCCCGGACGACCCAGACGACAGCCCGCTCCAACCCTCCGCTTGCGCCTCCAAGTCCGCCGCAGTGTCCGTATCGCGAACGGTTTCTTACTCCGCGTCTCGACATCGGGCGGGAGGGGGGGAGAAGGGGGGGGGATCTCGCTCTGGACCCCTGCTTCACGCGACTGTTTGCGACAGTGCGTCCTGTGGGGGGGGACTCCACCTGCCTGAAACAGGCGCCAGAAACAGCCAAGACCTGCTCCAAGGGGGGGGAGAGGAGTGCGAGGGCCCGCGCCGATCGGCAAAGCAATGAATCAGAAAACGATCACATCCTGCCCTGGCGGTGGAGTTCTTGAGCACTTCTTATGCCGATGCTCCCACCCCTGCAACAAGCGCGAACGCAGCATTGAAATGGGGGGCCCAGGGGCGGCACCGTCGACGCAGCGTCTGTGGATGGGCATTTGTTACGCCAACAGCGGCAGAACAGAACATAGCATAACAGAACGCAAGATACCATGATAGGATATAATAGCATAGAATAGAATAGAATCTAATATAATAGAACAGAACGGAATAGAATTGAACATAATATAGTACAATCGAATAGAATAGGCTATAATATAATAGTATTAACTATAATGAAATAAAAAACCGAATATACTATAATAGAATAGAATATGGTAGAACATAATCGTATATAATAGAACAGAGTAGAATAGACTGTATCAGCTTAGACTGTGTAAGATTAGAACAGAATAGAATAACCGATACGTGAATGTAATTGAATAGCACAGATTCAGATAGAATATAATGGTCTAGACTAGACTAGACTCGGCTCGATTCGACTGGATTAGATCAAACTAAACTAGAATTTAATGGAATTGTATGGGGTATGATGTAATACAATACGAAATAACAGAATATACTAAAGCATAATAAAGAGAACCGACCATAATATAACATAATACCATATAACAGAATGGGCTACGATATAATAGAACATTGTAGAATCCAGTTCTATATAATAGAATAGAACATGATATACTACAATAAACTATAAGATTATAAAACAAAAATCACATATATTATATAGTATAATAGAAACGGATAGAATATACGATGCTGTAATCGAATATAGTGCAATAGAATATAATAAAACAAAGTAACGTATATTAAAACAGAGTGTAATGCCACCAGCCCTCTGGGCGTCAGTGGTTTAGGGCGTTTCCTCTTCCACCCCTCCCTCTTCCCCTTCGGGGAGGGGTTTACCCCTCCCCCTACCCCCTCCCCGTGGACCTGGACGGGGGGGGCCGCGGGGGGTTAGAGCGTCCAAAACGGCCTCGGCGAGGAAGCCCCATTTTGGTCTCCTGGGGGGGGGGGGGGGGGGGGGCGGGCGTAATTAAGGAACCCCCCCTTCGTTGACCGATCTCCTCCAAGATGGCCCCAAGAAGCGCCCAGGAGGCCCCAAGAGGTCCCATGATGGCCCCAAGATGGCCCCAAGAGGCCCCCAAGAGGTCCCCAGGAGGCCCCCAAGAAGAACCTAAGCGGCCCCTAGAGCCCCCCCCCCCCGAGGCACCCAAGACCCCGAAGAGCCCCCCAGGATCGCCAAGAGACCCCCAAGACGTCCCAAGAGGCCACCAAGAATCGCCCAAGAGATACCCCAAGAGGCTCCGAGAGGCATCCAAGAGACCTCTGGCCCTTGTGCTTGCCTTCCTCCTCCTCCTCCTCCTCCTCCTCCTCCTCCTGTTCCTCCTTCCTGCTCCTACTCCTTCTCTTCCTCCTCCGCCTCCTCCTCCTCCTCCGCCTCCTCCTCATCCTACTCATCCTCCTTCCCACTCCCTCATCCATCCATCCATCCATCCACCTCCTTTTCATCCTCACTCCTTTGCACGGTTCGGCCGTCCTCCTCTTTGCTACCGCACTTCCCTGATCAACTCAACTCGCCTGGACATCGTTTCTGGATGGACTGGTGGGGATATTTTGTTGTTCGGCGGCCCGCAAGGAAAAATCCAGAGGGCGTGTCAATCATCGGCAAAGGGGCGCGGTGCCAGATAATTCGAACTGGTGGGGATACGCGAAGCGTCTAGAATATACTAAAACCGAATAGAATATACTAGAACAGACTATACTACAATATAGTTGATGAGAAGATCAGAGATTCGATTAGAAGAGAATAGGGTATAATATAATAGAATGGAGAATACTAGCATCATATAATCTAATAGAACAGAATATACTATCATATAATGTAGCGAAATGGAACTCAATATATTATATGTGATACATTCGGGAGGAATTACATAGAATCGCATATAATATACTATAATAGAACAGACTAGACTAGACTACACTAGACTAGACTAGCATGTAATATAATATACTAGGATATAGCACCATATAATATAATAGAGTATGATATAATAGAATAGAATAGAATAGAATAGAATAGAATAGAATCTAATAAAACAAAATAGAACAGAATATAATAGAATAGAATATAATAGAATATAATAGAATAGAATAGAATAGAATAAACTATAATAGAATAGAATAGAATAGAGTAGAAAAAAAATACTATAATAGAACATAATCGAATATAATAGAATGTAATATAATATAACAGAATAGAATAGAGTAGAATAGAATAGAATATAATATAATAGAATAGAATAGAATAGAATAGAATAGAATAGAATAGAATAGAATAGAATAGAGTATGATGGAATGGAATCGACTGTAATGGAATGGAATGGAATGGAATGGAATGGAATGGAATGGAATGGAATGGAATGGACTTTTTTGAATGGAATGGAACGGAACGAAACGTAACGGAACAAGACGGAACGGAACGGAACAGAACGTAACGGAGCAGAATGGAACGGCACGGAACGGAACGGAACGAAATGGAATGGACTGGAATGGAATAGAATGGACGTGAGTCCAGCAGTCGAAAGCCCGCTAGCCCAAATGCTGGCCCAACAAAAACAAGGGGGATCACTCCCACTGGGCCTCGTCCTGCAGCTGCTCGGAGCGCTCTTCGAGGCGGCCGCGGCGGTCCACCGTGCAGGACCGCCGAACTCTCGAGACCGAACCTGGCCAGGATTGCCCCTCCCCAGACCTAGGGGGCCACGTGCGAGCCCTACGCCTACCCCCCACGATTTCGGAGGGGGAGGGTGGGCTTCGCTTCGCTCGGGAGCTGAGGGGGAGGGTGAGGTTCACTTCGCTCGGGAGCTCCCGAACGAAGTGAACCCCACCCTCCCCCTCAGACATCGTGGGGGGCAGGGGTAGGGCTCGCATGTGGCCCCCCAAGACCTTCGCAGGGGCCTCCTGGAGACCCCCGCGCGGGCGCGGACCGCCGCGGTCTCCCGCTCCTGCTCCGCGCGGCCTCGAGGCTCGCCGGCAGAGGCGCCAAGGGAGGGGACCTCCCAAAAGGTTCCGGCCGCCCGTCCCCCTCGCAGTGGCTCCGCCGGCGAGGGAGCAAGGCCGCGGGAGGTGCGCATGCGCGGCTGCTTCGGCCCTCCCCGCTCCTCCTGCTCCTCCTCCTCCTCCTCCTCCTCCTCCTCCTCCTCCTCCTCCCCCTCCCCCTCCCCCTCCTCCCCCTCCCCCTCCTCCTCCTCCTCTCCTCCTCCTCCTCCTCCTCCTCCTCCTCCTCCTCCTCCTCCTCCTCCTCCTCCTCCTCCTCCCCTCCTCCTCCTCCTCCTCCTCCTCCGCCTCCTCCTCCTCCTCCTCCTCCTCCTCCTCCTCCTCCTCCTCCTCCCCTCCTCCTCCTCCTCCTCCTCCTCCTCCTCCTCCTCCTCCTCTCCTCCTTCCTCCTCCTCCTCCTCCTCCTCCTCCTCCTCCTCCTCCTCCTCCTCCTCCTCCTCCTCCTCCCTCCTCCTCCTCCTCCTCCTCCTCCTCCTCCTCCTCCTCCTCCTCCTCCTCCTCCTCCTCCTCCTCTCCTCCTCCTCCTCCTCCTCCTCCTCCTCCTCCTCCTCCTCCTCCTCCTCCTCTCCTCCTCCTCCTCCTCCCCTCCTCCTCCTCCTCCTCCTACTCCTCCTCCTCCTCCTCCTCCTCCTCCTCCTCCTCCTCCTCCTCCTCCTCCTCCTCCTCCTCCTCCTCCTCTTCCTCCTCCTCCTCCTCCTCCTCCTCCTCCTCCTCCTCCCTCCTCCTCCTCCTCCTCCTCCTCCTCCTCCTCCTCCTCCTCCTCCCTCCTCCTCCTCCTCCTCCTCCTCCTCCTCCTCCTCCTCCTCCTCCTCCTCCTCCTCCTCCTCCTCCTCCTCCTCCTCCTCCTCCTCCTCCTCCTCCTCCTCCTCCTCCTCCTCCTCCTCCTCCTCCTCCTCCTCCTCCTCCTCCTCCTCCTCCTCATGCTGCTCCTCCTCCTCCGTCCTCCCCGCTCCTCCTGCTCACGGGGCCGCAGAGGAGCACGCGCCTCGCCCTCCCCCAGGCGAGCGCTCCGCACGGGGCGCTCGCCGAGCAGAGGGCGGCCTCTGGGGGGCGGCGATCACGAGGGCCCCCCCTGAGAGCTTGGCTCAGGTCGGGCGTGTGCCCCTGCTGGCAGATCCTGGGCAGCCTCTGGGGGGCGGCGATCACGAGGGCCCCCCCGAGAGAGCTTGGCTCAGGTCGGGCGTGTGCCACTGCTGGCAGATCCTGGGCGAAAAGGTAAGAACACTCAAAAAATGCACCAAAATAATCAAAACAACGATTTACTCACAATCGCTCCCTGGCTACTTGTTACTATTTTTGAATACTCCTCCTGTAGAGGGACATGCCCGACTTAAGACTTGACCCCCAGACCTGTCCTGGAACGCGTCCTGGCCAGACTTCCGAGAGTGGGATCCGCACACGGAGCGACGAGAGAGCCTCCCAGAAGCACGGGGAGGCCCCGAGCACGCCCCACGATCTCGACCCTGGGGCCTCGGGAACTCTTCCCGCCCAACGACCTCGAACACGCCCAACGACTTCGACCCTCGAACCTCGGGAACCTCGGCCCTCGACCCTCGAGCCCCGAAA